GTGTGGTTTTGATTTGCATCTCCCTGATGATTAGTGAGGTTGAACATTTCTTCATGTGTTTGTTGGCTGCTCGGATGTCCTCTTTTGTGAAGTGTCTGTTCATATCTTTTGCCCATTTGATAATGGGGTTTTTTTTTTCTTTTCAGCACGTTTTAGTTCCTTGTAGATCCAGGATGTTAAGCTTTGTTCTATTTTTTTTTTTTTTTTGGTTTTTTTTTTAGTTGAAGTCTCACTCTGTCACCCAAACTGAAGTGCAGTGGCCGCTCCCGGCCACCGCAGCCTCGACCTGCTGGACTCCAGTGATCCTTCTGCCTCAGCCTTCCAAGTAGCTGGACCTACAGGCGCATGCTACCATGCCTGGCTAATTTTTTGCTTTATTGTAGAGATGAGGTCTCGCCAAGTTGTCCAGGCGGGTCTTGAACCTGCAAGCTCAGTCAATCTATTCACCTCAGCCTCTCAAAGGCATGGGATTACAGGCAAAGCCACCGAGCCCAGCTACAAGCAGTTATTTCTTTTCTTTTTTACAAGCTGACTCTTCTAAATTATGCTTCAATTAAAATGAAATGAAATGAAGGTTTACAGCTTTGCAGTGTATGATATGTTTAATTTCCTTTTCAAATGATCACATAAGTATTCTTACATTTATTTTTAAGTCATTGTTTTGTCTCTGATCTAGCACTCCTTTTACAATACATTTACCATTTTATATAAATTATACAAAGAGTTTGAGTCCCCACCATCTCTCAGTTGTTGTTGATCAAGGATTTTGGAAGGAAAAAAAAATAGAGATTATCACATCTCGGCAACTCATTTGAGAATATTATTTATATTTGTTCCTAATGAAAAGTTGAAAGTAATCTTGATTTCCCATCAAATGTACAGGGATTATACAATATAGTTCATAATAGTGTTTAATTCCTCCAGGTTTCAAGTGAAGATAAACCAGTCACTGACAGTGTTTATCTATAAATATGGCAGATGGTGAGAGACTGAGGTTAGTTATCAACTCTTCTGACTTTAATTTCATGGTTATAAAACACTGTAAACCTCACTGTTTATCAAAGGCTGGGTAGAAACTAGTGGGCTGCAGTAGCCAAGAAATCCTCAGTAACATTAATCTCTTTAACTGATATTTAGTATCCTCCTAGGGTGTAATATTTAAGCTTGTGGAGTGATTGCTAGACATATTTAAATTTTCACTGGGATCATTAGCTAGCATTTCTGTCATTGATCTATTATAACTTTGTTAATGAGTTCCATGTGAGTGAAATTTAGTGAATGAGACAATTCTTTCTAAACTTTGCTGGGTGTATGTTTAACAATTACTTAAGACAGTTATATATCTAAAAGATAGACTAATTCATCAAAATAATTATTTTATATACAAAGATGAATTGTGATACTAACTAGAGCAAATATACCTAGGCACAGAATTTCATAAAAGGAAACCAACCATTGCATTTTTGAATAATTTATCAGCCAATGTATATTATATACATTTAGGGCCATGAATCTACCTAAAACTTTACAAAATGCTATATAATTTTAAAAGATACAAATCTATTTATTCTTCATATTTGGGATGGTTTTAAATATAAAATTTTATTGTGATCATGTATTTTGTTAAAAATCTGTATGCTCAATTTTATTAAAATTATGGTCCTGTATTATAGCAAAGAGTATTATTTAAAATTGCTCAATTTTAAAAATTCCAACTTTATAGTAAATAACAAAATGTATTCTATAACCACAAAAGTAAATAATATTCACACACTCCACCTCTATTACTTTTATATTCTGAACAGGTTGGTTTTTCAGTTTCTAAAAAAGACAGACTTTTTAAATAGATAATAATTCAATATGCAAATTGGGGACTAAAAACTCTTGCACTAAAAAAGCCTTAATTGTATTAAGTTTAGACTCCTTAAGAAAAGATTTTCTAATGATCAAATGCTTGGTTACTTTTCTAGTCTTGTATTGAGATGCTTGGCTCTGATCCACCTTGAAACGCTCATTACTGATGTGAAACATCAATCTATCTGTCTATTGATTATTCCTAACATAGCACTCAAATCATGACTTTCAAGGAGCTGTCGCCTCAATGGAGAGATGATTGAATGGAACCTTTGGTAATACACTCATTTACCTCATAAGAATGTTACAATCAACAATAGACCGCATTTACAACAGTGGTCTCATAATGTTTTTTTTGTTTTGTTTTTTGTTTTTGTTTTCCTATTTTTCATAGAGACAAGGTCACTATGTTACCCAGGCTGGTCTTGAACTCCTGGCCTCAAGTGATCCTCCCACCTCAGCCTCCCAATATACTGAGATTGTAGGTGTGAGCCTGGTCCTGTAAGGTTATGATGCCATATTTTTATGTGCCTTTTCTATGGTTAGATACACAAATACTATTATGCTATAGTTACTTACAATATTCGGCACAGTAGCATGCTGTATATATTTGTAACCTAGAAGCAATAGGCTATACCATATAGCCTAGGTGTGTAGCAGTCTATATGTTTAGGTTTATGGAAGAACACACTGATGTTCCCACTAGGATGAAATCGCCTAACCATGCATTTCTCAGAAACTATCCCTGCTATTGAACTATGCATGACTGTGTATCTTCTCATCTTCCTTCCTGCTCAGAGCCTGTTGTCAACTAATGTTATATTTCACTATTTGATACACTCATTTTTGCAACTGTCTACTTAAACTCGGATTTCCAGGTCTGAAAATGCATGAAGCGTCAATAACAGAGGATGGCAAAACCTCTCTCAAGTGATGGATTCAATGCCTCAAAGTCAAGTTTAATCTTCAACCAAAAATTCATTATTGGGCTATCAGTATGTTTGACATCCATTTTTGTGTTGAAATCAGTACAAATCAAGGGCAATTCCACTTTAAAGTTATCAACAAAAATAATCTAAAATAGATCTATTAATTAATTTTAACTCCTGCCCATTTTTGTCTTTAAAGTGAAAAAGTCAGATAAAAGAGCATGTCCTCACAGGCAAAGATTTCTTTTAAAACAGAACCACACTAAAGCATGTTTTCTAGAGTTGAGAGCCCACTGAAAATTGGTGAGAGTGTGTCTCTCAGAAACATGGCCAAGAAAACTAGGGCCTCAGAGTGACCAGGAGTGGCCCTGTAGAGAGGTCTAGCTAGTGGCAGGTGGGAAGGGAAGAGAACAGAGGAAACTGGCAAAGCCAGGAGGTATTCCAGTGTCTGGAGAGGTACATGAAGAGGTAGGTTTATGGACTCTCCTTCATGGGAACTTCTATAGTGGGTACCAAAAAAATGTATACACAGTTTAAGAAAGGGAAAAGTATTAAAATTGTAATACTCAATATATACCGATAAAAAAGATAAATAAAAGTCGTGCTTGACTTCTGCAATTACACATTGCTACCACAATTCAACTTCAAAAAGTAATACACAGATAACATCACCTAAAATATATATACTTTTTTTGGCACCCCCAGTATATACAGTGGGTCTGAGGGACGTGAGATACCATTAAGAGCACACTAAAACAATCATTCTTGTAATGAAGGGATTTTTTTTCAGTATCCCAAAGGGTGGACTAAAGCTATTGTCTTTTTATTTTCCTAGTCTATATTTAAGATATAATGTGTTATCTCGTACAATGTAATTTTTTATTAATTATGGTTTTCAAAAAGAAAAAAGCATCTATAGGGAAATTACCTGATTAAAAGGGGAAAAACAGACCATTGAAATGTAATAAAAGTATTCCTGCTTACACTCAAATCTTTCAGATTTATTAAAATAATGACATAGAAACAAATTGCTGCCTTAAGACATAGTCTAAAGAAAATTATAATTCATAAAATAAAAATAATACATACATAAACACTTTAATTTCATTTTTATCATTTTCTTTCAGATTATCCTTCCCTGCCTAATGTCAAAGACATTGCATTGTCGAAAAGAAAACATGCAAAGGGGATCACTTTAACTGGATTTCATTCCCCTTTCAAAGGTCAGTTAAAAAAATAATCTACTAATAGTTTTATTATTTATTTCCTCTGTAAATCTAGTAATTTTCATCTTAATCTTTTGCTCCTAGGAGATGTAATCTATGCTGTCATGTGCATGGCAGTCACCTGTGGGATCCTTCTCTTGGTTATGGTCAAGCTGAGGTAACGATGTAGCCAGAAGGGGAAGGGAAGGACTAGAAGGGAGTCACTTTGTTGTGTGAAAGCATGTTGCCCATTGGCTGTCCTTGAAGAGTCAGAGAATGACAGTTTCTCCATTCAGACATACTAAATCCATTTTATGTGGCATAGGTCCATGATAACATTACTCTTAGTCTTCACATGGAAGGGAAATGCGATCATAGGGGTTTTTTTTATGTTGCATTTTACAAGCACATTCTCATTGTATACTCCCTCCAATTAAACTGTTATCAATCCCCCCCCTTAGTTTTCCTGCAAAATCCAAACTGAACTGCATTCATTATTTGAATCATTCACAGGACTCATATTCTCACATCACACCTATTGTGTAGTTCATACAGTTTACATTTATGTGAAGATTTATTCTTCACTCTAATTTCTTATATACTAATGCATTTTATTCATGTTTAATATACAATTATTGGAAGAGACATTCAGAGTACCCATAGAAAGACATTACAGTTGCCTGACATCAATTTACTCTTTCCAAATCTTCCTGGCTGCCTTCATTGCTGCAATGTGGCAATTCCCCAACAGGCACGTGAGGCACTGAGGTTAGATATACATCAATTTCTAAATTTCTAAATGTTTAGGGTTTCAAATCTTTCCACTTATTTGGCATTTACAAATGAATAGAAAATAGTATGAACTTATTTGCCCTTAGTTTAATAATAAAAACCTCATATTTAAACATAAATTATGTTCATTTGCTTATTCATTATATATATGTGTATACATGTGTATAATTTGAGTAGCATAATGTTCATGAAGAAGATATACGTGCAACACATATGTATACACACACATAAACTATATTTATCAGTAAGCTTGGGCCTATAGAGGTGAGGAAGCAAAGCACTGGGCATTTATCTCATGATACTTGACACTTAGGAAGACTGACTCAGTCAGCCATACAATGCATGCATTCCTATTGGTCCTTCATTCATCTCAGAGTTAGAGGCCTCGACAACCAGGCAAATAAAATGAAAGACTGAAGTGGGGAGGTGTATGATGATATCACAGGATCTGGTTCGTGTTGAGTGTGTATGCTCTGCCTAAGGGCATTCACCTTTACTTACTTTTAAATACAATACCAGCTACACAAAATGGATCCATTTGTTGAATCCAACCCCTCTAAAACATTTAATTTGCTGTTAACCAAAACCAGTACCAAAACAAACTGTTATTCTCCAAAGCCTTAAAATTTATATTTGTATGAGAAGATATTCCACGGGTTCCAAGATATGGTTTGAAAGCCAAATAATTAGAGTCCATTTCTAAGGAGAGTGGAGAATAGCATTTGGAATTTATTAAACTTTCATTTATTTGGTTTAAAATATCTGAGAGCACTGTTTAGTTACTGTGCCTGCCTAGATATTCCATGACAAACATTATTTCAGAGAAACACAGACAGTTTTCTGGCCTAGCAAAAATCTTTAAATGGTGCTCAATCTTTACTTCTTAACCATGTATATAATTTATAAAGTTCACATCTACCACATGGGCCCATGAGTTTTTACAGATTACTGTTATGCTACAGGTAAATAAGATGTAGGCTATTTATAATCTCCTATGTAGCAGCTGTCACTTCACCTCATTTCTTGCCTGTATCAAAAGAACTTCCCTAGCCCGGCATGGTAGTGTATGCCTGAAGTTCCAGCTACTTGGAAGGCTGAGGCAGAAGGATCGCTGGATCCCAGCAGGTCGATGCTGGGGTGGCCGTGAGCATGCCACTGCACTCCAGCATGGGCAACAGAGTGAGACTCCAACTCAAAAAAAAAAAAAAAAGAGGTACTTCCCTTTCTTGGATGATAGTTGGAGTGTTATTATTAGAGACAAAACTTTTGAATTTAATATATATTTTAAAGCAAATTCTTCATACTATTAAGCTCATTGTATTTAACTAGAAATTATTTTCCGTATCATTTAAAATTGATTGCGATGTGTCATCGGCAAGTTCCAGGCCCAGGGTTAGGTCAACGAGACAAAAGTTAAAGCCATCATGAAAAGAGTATGTAAAACAAAACAGAAACATCAATGGCAGCCGAACCTGTGTAGTGGCACCTCTGGAGAGAAATAATGCTACCTGTTGAAAGAAAGCTGGTTGGTACATCAGACCTTGAGCATTTGCCTAGTTGTCAGTTCTAATTCTTGTGAATACCTATCTTCAGTAAAGGTAAATTACAGTTAAATGCATGATATTCCCTAGAAAGACTTAAAATATTCTACTATTAGAACTTTACTTCAGGAACTTTATAATTTTTTTCTCCAGGCACCCCATTCAAAAATATAAACTCATATATTTCTGAAATTTTTTAAATGGCATATTATTAACTTGAACTTTTACTTTTATCTAGAACCTTCAGAATGTCAATTCAAACAAGAGAGCCTTCACCAACCCACATACCTGGAGAGCTGTGATTCATTGGATTAGAGTCACGGATCATTAACAATCAAGTTCTTTAAAGCAAGTTTTTATAGCCAGTCACAGATTATTCCATCTGTCATCAAGAAGGAAAATGTTAAGATAGACTTAATGATATTGGATAATTGAGTATAACAATGTAAGGTATAATAACAGGTCATGATGATGTTAGGCTTATTTTTTCTTAAAAAAATGTTTGAGTGGTATCTATTACAGCACTGGTACAGAATTAAAGTTTCCCTTGAAGGCAAAAAGTGTTATCTCAAATTACAGATTGCATGATTTACTTTCATCATACATATAAATCTATACAATATTAAGTAGCTGTGTTGTAATATGCTATATTATAGTTAACAGGGTTTTTCTGATCAGTTTTATAAATTTCCATTAATTTTCCAAAAACGGATTGTTAATAAATATTCAGTGTATTTCCATTTGTATAATCTCATCTTTTTAAAATCAGTACTAAAGCAAAGCAACTACATTGTCAGAAAAAGTCAATGTGCATTTCAATAATGATTTATGTTATTTGTGAATTTAATGTTGCTATGCTAATGATTATAAACTTATGGGATATTAAAGTAACAACATAATTTAACAATTATGTGTTGTTTCTATACTGTGACTTTTGACTTGATTTGCCATTAGAGCATAACTGCAATTAGAACATTATAGAAAAAAATGTTTATTAAATTTTTGATACATATGTGCTTTTCAGCTGTCTTCTATCATACTGGTACCCATTGCTCAGAATGGGTACCAGCGGCATAAATATTTAATAACCTGAGGATGCCACACTAATAATTAGTGACTATTTATTTATTAATTTATTTACAATTAAAGGTCAAATATTTTCTGCTTCTTTGGTCTCATTTTTATTGCTGTTACTGTACTTTGGATTAAATTGCCTGCCTTAAACTAAATTTGAAGTTAACATTTGGCTATGTTTACTCAGAGTACTTGAAAAGCCATTTTTTAATCTTTTAAATGGGAAAGAATAACTTGATGAGTCACAGACACCCCTCATGGAGTTCTATAAATTCCAGCAGCTGTGTAGAGGGTTAACAAGAAGAGCATTCAGACATTTCCTTCCGAAATCACTGCCATTTAACTTAGGCTTGGTAATGATGAAAACGCGAACTGTTTTCTGGAAAACTGAGGAAAGAAGTCAAGTTGCTTTTAGAAACGTGTTAAGCAGAGAAGGGAAGGACACGGTGTAAAATGGATGACCTCCCTAACAAAGGTCCCTGTCTCCTAAACCAACAAGAGTAAGCAGGTAGAACTGCAGGAGGAATCAGCACAGAGCAATTAGAGAACTCTAAATAGTTACCTGTCTCTAGATCAGGGAGTCAAAACTGAGAAAATGCAGGACATAAAGATGAAAAACCATGGGGACTGAAACACTAAGGGCCCTTAAATACCAGGCTAACGAGACTCTATAAATGCGGACTGTAGGCCACTCAGAACATGGTCCCCATCTTCACTGTCATCTTTAACTCTTCTGTCCTCTGAGAAGCTTTCTCTAACATGTCCTTCCCTGCTTGGGTCAGGTACCCTTGTTCAGTGCTCCTCTGGCACCTGAAGTTCCCCTTTCTTAGACTACTACGTCTCGCTGTCATAGCTTCTTCATTTCTTGTTTTTTTCAGTAAATTATAAGCACACCAGTCAGGTCTGTTGGCTCATCTTTGCTTTCCATTCCACAGTGCATCATGTGTACTCAATAAATAATTATTCAGTGACAGCCTAGCTTCACTTGAAAGGCTCCAAAATGCTGCACAATAATTTTAAACAGATTTTTGAATAAAAAAAGGTGTTCTAACAGACATGTAAATGGTGAACTTCAGAGGGCTAAAACAGATATTGAAGAGACTGCTTTAAAATATATTGTAATGGCTAGCTAATAGAAATTAAAAGCCTGAACTAATTAATTTGTTCGACACTTACTTGAGTATGTAGTGTATGTTAGCCCCTATAGTAGGAACTAAAAATACAGTTCTGAACAAAGTCCTCTTGGAAATTTGAAAAGAAGTAAACAAGCTAACTTTTGAAAGTGATAGATTCTATTTAAGACATAAATAGGCTGGAGTGATAGCAGAGTGAAGAGAAAAAACAACAGTAATGCAAGAAAATAGAATGCACTTATAAATATCTCACAATTTAGAATAGATGGGGACTTGGGATCAGATATTTGCTGGGGGTTGAGATTATAAAGATCAAAGCGGGAATCAGTGTCAAGCAAAGACTTTTCTGCTCAGGTGCAGTGACTCACGTCCTGAATCCCAGATATTTGGGAGGCTGAGGCAGGAGGATTGCTGGAGTCCAGGAGTTCAAGACCAGCCTAAGCAACGTAGTAGGACCTCATCTCTACAAAATATCAAAAACTTAGCTGAATGTGGTAGTGCATGGCTGTAGTCTCAGGTATTTTGGAGGCTGACATAGGAGGATCACCTGGGGTCAAGGCTGCAGTGAGCCATGATCGTGATAATGCACTCCAGTCTGGGTGACAGAGTAAAATTATGACTGAAAAAAAAAGAGTAGGATTTTGATTTGTGCCATCAAGTAAATCATGGTGCCATTTGGAAAACTGGCTCATGCAGGAGGAGCATGGGAATGGGAAAGGACAATATGCCTGTTATCTGTACCATCTTTCTTCGCCTTTTATGTACCACCAGGAGGTTGACCTATATGCAAGAAAGGCTCCCTTGTTCTCTGGCTTCTTTTGGATCAAGTCAGTGGTAAGAAATGGCAGAAAATGTGAGAGACAGTTCCCTGTGTCCCCTTCACTCTCCAGAGATGTCAACACAAACTGGCTGTTTCCTTTAGCTGTTTCCATCAGTGTGGTCTTTTCTACATGCATCTTTCCTTCTTGATTCAGTAAACATTTCCACTTTTTAACCCTGCAGGCTTAGTGGCACTAATCTCAGTTGTTACTAGTCCTGAGTTCCTGGACTACCCTTGAGGTTTTCATACAACTACCCACACCTGATTAAAGATTCCCTTAATCAAGCACTCTTAAGAGTTATCAATTTACATAACTTGCATGTATATCATCTGCTTCCTGTTGGTTTCCTGACTGATACTTGGAAATATTTTGGATTACAATCCACTTTCTAACACCAGCAGGCTACCCACATGGAGTTACTTAGTAGTTAGCTGGAAAATATGGCTCTGGCACTGCTGAAATCTGAGCAAGAGCCACTAAAATTTGAATTGTTCAATATCTCTTGTATATCTCTAATCCTGGATGAGAAAGCAAGTTTACCACTAGACACTCACTTATGATTTCTGGGGGGGGAAAAAAAACACTATGGGGAAGGGTGACCAGATGATCAGGTGGCCCAGGTCAGAAGAATTTGACCCTTGATAAAATTCCCTCCAGAGTAGTTTAACTATTCCACTAAGAAGCTTCTGTGCCCCTAGCTGTTTCTGCATGTTTATCCAGGATGTCTTCTCCTCCACAGAATTCCTTCCGCGTTCCCGGGTGCTGGGAGTCAAAAGAGCAGCCCCAGCTGAAACTCAGTGAGGTGAATCAGAAAGGTCTCTGAGGAAGGATTTTAGGGCAGAAGGAAAACAGGGACTCCGTGGTTATTCCAAAGGTGGGCCTTGCATCTGTTCCTACTTTTGAATTCCCTATGAGAGTCCTGGGAAATAGATTTGGGTTGAAACATACATCCTTTTCATTATCATGTACATTAAAATGAATACAAATGACTTGACAAGTGAATAGAATATTTCTTCCTTTATGTTTTATAAGTCCCGTGTGAGCTTAACAAACACAAGAATAAAATCTGGGGACTGATAGGCAAACGGTGGCACTGCTGCTCTAACCTGTCATGTTGGCACGTGTCATGATGTGTCAGGTTGGCACACCCCTTCTGGTAAACTAGCACTGTTGTTCTTACATGTCCCTGTCTGCCTACTCAGTTTCCCCTTACAACTCCAACATGAAGACCGACTGGGCTGCAACGATGTTCTGCACTTGAGTTTCTCAAGTTGTTCCCAGAGTGCCTGTTTGAGGCTCAGTGTCTACTCAGACCACTCTGACTGCACCCCAAACTTAGGTTAGTAGAATTAGCATTTCCAAAGCCTCCACAGACAAGTCAGTTTCAATAAATGTATCTTTAAATAGAGATTCATAATACAGGTTCTATAATCTTGGTTCTACTAATAAGGAAATAGGCCTTCAAAGCACAGTGGCTTAAGTTTTAATTAGGCAATATTGTCATATTTAAATATAGAGAATAAAGTCATAAAACTTCACAAGAGTATAAAATTGCTCCATGTAGCCCACAAAATGTGGTTAATTTATCTGTGATACATAATATATATAACAGTTTATCTTGGGTACAATGAATTATTTGATATTTGCATATAATTTAGACCTACACTAGAAGCAATAAAGATATAATTAGCTAAAATATTTCTCAATATTTTTTGTTTAGGTGAAAATACAACTGTAAATATAAAACAACCACTTTTCAAGTAAAATTTTCATTTATAAACCTAGAGCTTGCTTTGCATATATGTACACAGTACTTATTAAGCAGAGTTTTTGATTCATGATTTAATACATTTTAACATAAAATTATATGTTTCATTTTATATGGATAGATCTTCTTAAAAGGAGTTAAGGACATATTCCGATGGTTACCAAAAAGCTGTTTATTGCTTTCCATAAAATAATATTGAGAGACAGAAAAAGTTTATATATACATAATTAGGGTGAGAAACACTCAAACAAAATTAACATTAAAATACTTTGAGATTTCACTGAAATTTTCTAATTTGATTTATGCTGCATAATTGGTTAGTTTTGCAGAAGACTATTTTTATAAGGTCAATATATTTATATTTTTAGTGAATGCTTACTTACACGTGTTACATTCTTTTAATACCTTAAAAAATGTGATTGCTCTTCTTCTGTCTGAAAATTCTAAGTTAGTGAGTACTGAGAAAAATATACCTCTTAACTAGCAGAAGGCATTATAAGGGCAAA